AACTAATCTTTTATAATTTTTATGAATTAGTTTACAGTATTTCCAACTTTGAATTTTAACAGTCATTTCCAACTGTCGCAACACTAAATAAATGGATCCATTATTTTATAGATCAGTTTTATAGATGTACCCACAATTTTTCTTACAGTTTTTAATGTATTGTTTAATTGTATATATCAGGAAAAATTATAGTACAATCATCTTGTTTTCTCCTTTGTTACGTTATGGATGTGCATTAAAGTAAAACAATCAGCGTTGATGACAATCGGCTGACAAATATACTTGTACGAAATTCTGTAAGAAAAGGGATATTTAAGAATGTGTTTACTGTCTCAGATTTAATATTTCAAATTCAAATTGGGAAACCATAAGCCATAGTAAATCCTCCAAGTCATTTTCACTCGCCATTAAAAAGCTGCAATCTTTCTCCATTTCCCAACATTTGGTGAGTAAGCTTTCGTTACATACTTTTGGTCTGCAAATCCGAAGGGGCGAGAAATTCCGCATGTTGGCCTTACTATTTGATTCTCCCAAAATATTGTTCAGAATCTAAATGAATTCGCTTTTAATACAAAGCTAAAATTAAATGCACAGTACAGTACGGCAAGTTTTCAAACAAATAAGCAGTTGGAAGAAATGCTGAGAAAAAACGCTCCTAATTTTCGATTCATGATTGTTTCGATTTTAAATTATACAAAATGTTGCAATAATTTATGTAATTTATTTTTTATTTAGATTTAACTCCACTTCGGCGTTTTATTTTCTATCGTTTATTATGTTTCAACATGTTTGCCGATTTTTTTAGTATGTTATTGGAGATTCATATAGACAAATGGCAATTGTTATTTGCATTGACACTAATATTATATATTATGCCAATCATTCATATCTGTCTGAAATCAATATATTTCAAAGAAGCAAATAAAATAAGACGAGTGGTATATTAATGTCGTATTGCTGACTATTCCATACCCTGTACCCGAGTTCTCACCTGCAGACAAGCATTTTAACCTTGGCATAGTGCACAAATTTAATTTAAAATAAAGAGCATTCTAAATAGTATTTATAAATCCTTCGTATGGCAGACTACATTAAGCATATAGTATGTAAGTATATTCTGGTTCAGTTTGACAAGACGTGCTGATATAGCTGTGTCCGCCTATAAGTGTGTCTCTAGGAACGAAAGAGTATACACCTAATTCTGTTTTTACACGTTCTTTTTCTACACGGTTTGAAAATTAAAAATTTTGTATATGGGGACATTTAGCACGATTTATTTTTCACATGATCATTGTCTTTTTGCACGGTTTTTTTTAACACGACTTTTTTAAGAACCAATCTACCGTGCAAAAACAGAATTAGGTGTAATAGCTAAAATAACCAAAAAATAACAAAAAATGTTGTCATATAAAGTCGCCTTAAAATGGATCTGAGTTGGATTTGTTGAAGTTTTTTCATTGATCATATGCATAAGTTATTTTTTAAATGCATAGTGCATTATTTAATCAAAATTTTAAATTATCTACTTTTGTTTTAAATTTGATCCAAATTCAATTCTAAGAAAAGGTTTTTGCGAAACAATTTCACTCCAGTACTACGACCACAAACTGCAGCATCAAGTTCGCTCTTCTTCTTTTTTTTGCTTCTGCTAGGGGCGCATATAACTCAGTGCCGGAAGTTTGTCTGGGTACAGGGTATCTCACTGTCGGGTTTGCTCGACTGTAGCGTTCCCTCTTGTTATTTTATGCTGATGCCATGAAATTGTATTATACATTTAAGAGCTCTTAAAGTTTATAAGTACAAGTATTAATGTATTAACTGACTTCCTATAATCAGCTTCATTTGTTTATTGGATGATAAATAAGCAAATACGATAATAATATATTTATGTGTAAAGAGGATAAAAACGTATACAACTAAAGAAGGGGTAAAGTATATTGTCCTTCCGATTTCCCTCCAAAAACGGTCAAAATTGTATTAGACGTATAAAACAAAATGTTATGTATTTAAAGAGCAAGATCCAGAATCAGTAGAAATTTTAGATTGACCAGAAAGAACAAAGATATTTGCATAAATGTATTATTTTTCCTTTTCAAGAGTGTAGTTTAGACACATCTGCCTGCGAAGTACATTTCGCTTTTATTTAAGTTATTCTTTTTGCTATTTTATCGATTGCCCGCAATTTTCACATGAGCCACAACTAAAAGAACTATTTTTTTGGTTGTTGCCGCATTCGTATTCGTATTTGTATTTGGATTTCATTGTAAAGTTAATTGCCAGGTAGTGCCTAGAACCAGAGTCGCAGCCACAGCAGCGATATGAGTGATACCGATGCGGTGAGTTCGAAATATATGCATTTCATATTTGGCAATAACAAACACAAATAGCTGCACTAAAACCGAACTCTTAATGGCCAAAATTTATGCACAAATACTCGTATTCGATGAGACTTGGAATGGATGAGGACTACAGCTCTTGACAGGTCGACATTCAGCATAATTTACATAAAGACTACTACAAGTATTAATAGTTGTATTGACCTTGTATTTATTCAAGCCGCCAGACATGTCAAAACAAGTTCGCTGGCAACGAACCCTTTTGGCTAGAACTTGTGGGAAACAAATCAAAGCGCAATTTGGCAGCCGCGCTTAGTTCGCCTGCTGTTTGATTTAGTTTGGCAGTCTGTTGCCATTGCCCCAAACATTTGTTGAATCAATAAGCTACAAACAATTTGGGTCATGTTACAAGTCGCTAGCGAATTTCATGACAAAATTTCCCAAACTGTAACTGAATACTCCAAATGCGAAACAATAAAATGTAAACAAATGCCAGCCTAAGGGCTCCCCCCCCCCCACTCCCACACTCCCCCGTAAAAGTTCGAACCTGTACTAGAAGCCAGGAGTAGGCTATAAAATTTGAAAGCAACTCAATAGCAAATATATTGAGACATGTGAGCTGATATATGTGCATATAAATGATATGAGTGTTGGCCATCAAGTGCTTTGAGTGACGGGCGGGTGGTATGATGGCTTAGAATATCTGTTTGTGGCTTGCGCATCGCGCCTAGCTAGGTGTTCGGTTGCCCGACACTTGCACATTGCTGTACCGACACCGCAGGCGAGAAGTTCAGGCACACCGCTCACCGAGATGTACAATACGGCTAAAGAACGCTCCAGCCCGAACATTGGCTATGCGACCACAAACCAAGCTGGGAACCTATTGACGGGCAAGGAACGCACCAACTCCAAAACAGACAACACTTTAGAGGCTAAACAACCGGACTTGACTACAATAACTCGACCAAGCTCTGAATCAGTTCAGGGAGCACGTTACAACATGGGCTACTTGGCCACGGACTATACTAGTTCAGACCTCAAGACTGAGGAACGCGCTAACATCGACCAGAATTTAAAGCCACGATCGAGTGCAGAGTATAAGAATCTTGACTTTAACGCCACACGGCGTCCCTCTCAAGAGTATACGACCCCGATTCGAACGAAACAAGACTATACGGCTAAAGAACGCACCCAAGCACCACCACCACCTCCTGAATATAGCATGAAAGATCGAACGAGCTTTGTTCTTCCGTCGCAGATGCGACCCGCCGCAGGACCGCCGCCTCCACGTCCGCCATTTGCAGGCGCACGTCCAATGGTGGGGCCAGGACCTAGGCCTCCCATGCCGCCAAATATGGCACAGCGGGCCATGCCGCCTCCATTGAGAACAGACAGCAAAAGCAACTTGCTTATGGGTCCCGGACCAGGTATGCCGCCCAATATGCGTCCGGGCATGCCGCCACACCAGCTTAATCAGCAGGCGCGACCGCCCCCCAATGCAGGTGGCGGTGGTGGATCCTTGAGCCCACCCGGACAAGGACCACCTCGACCCCAGGGCTTTCCGTGGCCAGCGCCAGGCACTCTGCCGCCTGGAGCCCGCCCACAGAATATGCAGAGAGCACCACCGCCAACATTTGCGAGACCGTTGCCTGGACAGCCGCTGCAGGCCCCGTATCCACGTGCACCTTACACGCAGCAACCACAGCAGCCGCAACATCAGCAACAGCAGCAACATCAACAACAACAACAACAGCAACAACAGCATCAGCAGCAGCAGCAACAACAACAATTACAGCAGCATCGCCCACCTTCAGCAGCCAGCACGCATAACAACAACGAGAACGATGACGATGATGTCATCATGGGCCAGGCAATGACCCCGCTCAAGAGCTACAATTACAAAAACGATCCGCTCGGCTCACCGCTGTTGGAGGACACAGAACCACCCTTCGACACGCAACCCGCTAAGGGCGGCGACTTGCAGGCTGCAGCAGCAACAGATGCCTCCAAAAAGTCAAGTGTTTACAGTAAGATCTGGGCGTCAATCAGTGTGTGTGTCAATTAGTGAAGCCATTTTTAAGAACTGCTCGTTATTTCTAAGAGATTATAGTATTTAAAAACGTAATATTATCGGAATTATTGCAGTTTTGAGTCATCAGTGAAAGCAAAAATATGTATTCTACAAGTCAATGGAAACATGCAATTAGAACGCACGATAGTTGAGTATCTTTCAAGCAAATAATGTTGAAATGTTGAAAAGAATTTTGGACATATCTGTGGCAGAAGTAGAATAATTAACATCAGTTTGTTTAAAAGTTGTTCAGATTCATAAAAAGATTCCAGGAACCTGTTTGCATTATACTTGTAGTATTTGCTTTGATTAGAAGCTGCTTATATTAAGATAGAACTAGTCAGATTTTCCTATTAGCTATATAAATTTTGCAATGTCTCGAAATACACAGAATTTGCTTCAATACCTTTTAAATCGACATCCAGAGATAAATCGACGAGGCAAAACTTTTAAAGAAATGTAAATATTTTTCTACTTCTATGTTACTCACTGTATTACTCGAAACTGCTGCCTCTGAAGATATAACGATTTTTATATTATAGGCATATTCTCTGTATGCCCATTGCTTATGAATTTGTTTCCGCACATTTCAGAAGGCGACAATGACAGCGGCGTCGATGAGTCCACACAGGAGAAGGTGAGTTTCCGTTGCGTCTTTAACGAACACAACGACTTTCAAGTCTAGCTACAAACACAGATCTGTACATACAGATAAGTATTCACAGACTTACACACATACGCGTAGCTTTTAAGCGATGCGCCGTCTTTAATTGGAGGAGGAAATTAACTGACTGCTAATTAATTTAATTCGTTGATCATTTTAATCCGCTTGCCCCGAATTCCATTGGATTCGATTCGATATGGTGTTATTGTTGTAGTTTTTATTTTTGTTTTATTGTTGTTTCATCTAGTTCCACAAATCATAAATATCTGTAAATGGTGGCTAGCTGCGTGAGCCCAAGCGGTACCGCCCCCGTCTCTTGCATTCAGTCAGCAAGTTACGCTCCATTAGACAGACGCAGCGCCAGTCTCTTGAACATATCGTTTGTTTGCAGACGCCAAAGTTCAGACTAAGTTGTGTCTTCAGTGGCGTCGGTCGTGGGCTATAGAAGTACAACTACAACTGGCAGCAGCAGATAAAAGCGACAAAAGCGAACAAGGTTTAGGCCATATGTGCGAGTCTTGAGACATACAGGTGCGAAGGAAGGGTCTTGCCATAGACAAGACCGAAACAAATTGCCAAAAGTAATGAAAGCAGTCAGCAAATCGAGTGATTTGTGTGCCAAAGTGTGCGAGCAGCCTGGGAGGGGGTAACTGGCCTATAGATAAGTTTGTTGTGCGCCTAAAACACGAATTTTAGCAGCTGGGGGGCTCTGGGTTCGCTAAAAATATACGGCATATGAAAAACGACACGAACTTGCGCCTTGCGCGACAATCGATAAAACAATGTGAAAAACTATGAATCCTTCGTCGAATAACGACGCAACAGACAGACTAGCCGCACAGGACAGCCTTACTTACAGAGGCAGTCAGGCAGATTGTGGTAGTCATAAATGGCAAAACGTTGACAGCAGACAAGTGTGAAGCCGCATATTCGGTCGTTAAAACTTTCATAGCTGCAACATGCATTTGGTCATAACAACCAACGCGAGCTATCTCCTTGTAAAGCGACACTTTATTTAACATATTTGACACGTGTATATTCTGCTCTCTACAACAACTTGACTTTCGCAGGATCGCAACGGACCGATCTCGCCCAGTTCGCCGGTGAAGACGCCAACATCCACCTCCTCGAAGCCAGACAAGTCGGGCGCCTCACGCCCACCGAGCGCCACGCCCTCGAACAAATCGGCCAAGTCGCGCAGCGCCTCAAAGAATCGTTTGCTGCTCAAGACTCCCGAGCCGGAGCCGGTCAAGAAAGGTAAGCTTCTACGAATTAAAATCGATTTGAGTCCAACTAAGCCAGCTGCCTTCCTTAGTTCCAATGAATAAGGTGCAGGTAGGACATGCGCCTTCGCCCAATCTGAAGGCGGTGCGTTCCAAAATCGGCTCTCTGGACAATGCCACCTATAAGCCCGGTGGTGGTCATGTCAAAATCGAGACAAAGAAAATTGACATCAAGGCCGCACCGCGCATCGAGGCTAAGAATGACAAGTACATGCCTAAGGGCGGCGAAAAGAAGGTATGTTGAAGCTCATAATATTCCCGAACGACTTTTCATTGTCAGCGCGAGACATTCTAGGGGTTTCTAAAGGTTATCTCCTTTATAACAACTTGCATCGCAAAATCTCATTTATCTTTTGGAAAAATGCATTGAACAGCAATTAATACATACATATTGTTTTTTAAAAAGCAACAGCAAAACAAAAACAGAACGTAAAGTACTCGTAAGAAATTTAATTTCACGGTCGACTTGCGTTTGCGTTTTGATTTAGATAGCAATCACATCCATCACAAAGTATCTTGACTCGTATCTTGTATTCGCAAATGTATATTAAAATGTAGGAAACTCAAAGCGACACTTAGCAGCATAATTCGGTTGCCTTTTGTAGCGCATGGATCTGTACGACATGCATTCATATTGTACCCATATACTTGGTATTACTATATACGAGTAGATTGGGGCGCGACTCTGACATTGAAGCGCTTACACTGCTCCAGTCGCTGTATATACACACATATCGACACCCATCAGTTAATATCGAGCAGCATATAGACACTAAATTGACTTTGTATCTTGTACTTATTTGTAATTGCGACAACAATTTGCAAAATTTGTAGATAGTTACAACAAAGTTGCAGTGGAATGCCAAGTCGAAAATCGGCTCATTGGAAAATGCCGCCCATAAGCCTGGCGGCGGCGACAAAAAGATCGAAACGCTGAAAATTGATTTCAAGGATAAGGTCAAATCGAAGGTTGGCTCCAAGGACAATGTTAAACATCAGCCCGGCGGCGGTGATATCAAGGTATGTGCCTCTGCCCCTTCCCCAACAACACTCTCAACTAACCGTACATAGGACAAAGAATATGTTTGAGTTTGAAACCCAGAGAAGTGCCAACGATTTTTTGTTTCATCATTTTTCTTCCTAGCTATTAAGTATTCCTTAAGATAATTGTGGAGAGCGCTGTTTTCATTTTTCGTGTATAATTTCGTTCAATTTTTTGGAAAACCCCAAAAGAAAATATTTAAAAATCGCATGTTGTTGCTCAACTCAAAACTCAACTGGCATGAGCATGTGCGAGATGTCGCACTCTTTTCTCTCTCTCTCTCTCTCTCTCTCTCTCTCTCTCTCTATCTCTTTCTCTCTTGCTCATCTGCATGTGCTCTACAACATTCTTTCACTTTATTTGGCATGCTCCAAAGTCTTCATTTTCTTTTGGTGTTCGAAACTCACACATAAAGCGCCTAGGCTCTTGTCAATATACTATACTACGTAGTACAAGTAATTAACACGTACTTGAGGCTGTCCAGGAAAAAGGTTCCTAAAGAAATTTGAAAATTTACAGAGCCTCATGTATAACGATAGAAAGATGAACATCATCTATGGCGAGGGCTCTAAAATTGTGAGGCATCGTGCTTGCGCCTTGAATGGCAAGTGTCTCGAGGAGAATATGTACGAGTTCGAGTATAATGAGCCAGAGTAGTTCCTCAAGGTAATGCCTGTCCGCACATACTATATACATATTGGTTGTTTGCTGATCCACTTGCTAAACCATTCACCTAGCCTAGCAAGACACCCTTTTCTAAAATGTTCTTGAGTGTGTCGTAAAAACTTATGAAATATTATCAAATGAGATTAAATCCAAATTCGGCAAATTCGAACTTCTTGTGAGCCTTCAAGGATAAGGTATTGGGTTGAAGCAAATATGTATTTGATCTACTCAGAAAAAACAATGGATTTTTGAAACATCAATTGACGCCAGCTCGAATATTGTAGCCTAGATTCTCTGCCTGCTTCACCACAGTTACAGGACTAACATAAATATAACGATATGGGGCTTATATATAAATTAGAATGGAATATCCTGGGGTACTAAACAAAACTTAAAAGTTATACGAAGTTCGATATATGATTTCCATATTAGAAGCGATGACACTTGAATGTATAACATCCTGAACTGATTTAAAATGAATTAATTACTTTGTCCAAAAAAAGGACAAGTTATTCTAATAATAGTGATTTTTCTGCTAATCGCATAGGAGCGATTATATAAAGAAAGAGCCTATATGTTGATGGCCCTGTATATGAATAAGACAAGTTATATTATAGCTGCTATGCTTCAAAGGTTGTTGTTGGACGGACGGACGGTCTTTATCGTTTCGTCTTGTCCTGCTGATCACATATATACCTATAACATGGGGTCTACCATGCCTCGTTCTATGGCATACACTTGTGTATTAATGATTTTTCATAACCACTCACCACATTTAGTTAAGGTCCTCAAATGAAGACGCGTTGCTATTTAGCTAAAAAGAGAATTCTAGCGTTTAATAATAAACCAGGTATTGTAGGTTTATCCTCGAGTTACGAATGACGTAACGTATAACGTAGACGTTTACCAATAATAATACTATACTTCATAAGTAGAGTTACTTCAAAACCCAGACCTTTTCTTTGGACGTTGCAGCAATTATTGTTTGTGTGTATGTATTTTCATTGAAAGGTGATTTAAGAAAATTATGTTATTATTTCTTTACACCAACGAACCCAAAAACCAAACTAAACAAACTTATGGATTATGCATTTTGTTTTTAACTAAACCATAAAATGTTTGTCTCAAATCAAATACAAATTACAAGGATAACAATTCGAAGGATGTAAGTAGATGTGATTACTTTTCTTTGTACTCGTATTTATCCTATATGTGCTTCTGTAGAGCGTTCTGTTCGCAAATTTTTATTATACATACCATCTTATATAGTACACCTACCTAGTCCCACTTCTTGTGAGTCTGCAATAAAACAAAAATAACAGAATTCGTTGCACTTGCAAAGTAAAGTAGAATGATTTGATTTTTTTCCCCCCACACTTTGCAACTTATGGTATTTGTTGTCATTTTCCTTACTATATAAGTATGTGTTAAACTTGTACAGTTTGTGTATGAAAATTCTAAATTTCAGTTTCGTTAAATCCCTTCCAATTGGCGCTTGTGATTCGTTTGTGGTTTTGTTGTCGTATGCGTGCGCGTACTCGTTGTGTGTATAACAAACAGCCCACCCGTAAACAACAAGAAAACAATATCCTTATGCCAAAATCCAAATCGAAATTAATAGAAATGTAAAGTGTTTTGCTAATCGATTTCCGTACGTTGTCGGTGCTACTACCGTACTTTTCAGATACAATCGCAAAAAATAGAAATTAAGGCACAAAGCAAAGTTGGCTCTTTGGATAATGTTAAGCACAAGCCCGGTGGCGGTGAAAAGAAGATTTTCGATGATAAGGAATATTTGAAAAATGTTGAACACTCTGTTGCACTGACAACACCACCAACACAGGTAAACAACAAAAATTAGAAAGAAACTAAATCGTTTTATGGTCTACTATACTTTTTATGGTCGATATGATTTGTTCAATTTGTATGCATTTGATTTAATTACCAAAGCAAAAGTATATCCACATACTTGTATTTAATAATTCTAATAATATAATATTCAAATATCCCATTTTGTGTTTACTTCAAGAAATTCATTTTTATGTAATTGTAATTTTGTTGCATTGGTTCTTGAGTTCACATTCTCCGTTGGTACTAATGGCAAAACAAAAACAAAATAAAATTGAGCACCACACCCAGCACCCGAGTAGATTTTTTTACACGATCCAAAAGAGAATTACAAATACACCCAAAAAAATGCCTCAAACTAAACGCTATGCATATACCTACATATTTGTCTATATATTCACATGTAAAAAACGAAACATTGTGTGTAAAATTAATGCGTCCGCAGCTCAACTAAATGTTGGTCCCATGTGTCTAACTCAAGCTCGCATTCAAAAATGTTGCGTATACGTAATATGGAAATGTTAAACAAAAATATTATGCGGCCCAACGCTTGGCAAAGCAAAGTCAAAGTATTTATATGTTAGGCTTAATAAGTTGTATTTATATGTGTACTTATATTTGTTTTGCATATTATTTGCGTTGTTTCTTATTTGTTGTTCAACCATGTTACGTTACATTTAAAAATGAATTTCTTTCAAACTCAAACTGAGATGGATTGGAACTAAACGAACAACTAAATTGCTAACTAAATGTCTTTCACAACCACTTGTGCATTAAGTGTTAACAATTATACACACATTCTCTTTTCTCTCTCTCTCTTTCTTCCCAATCCAATGCGCTTCACGTCTATTGTGTGTGTTAAGTGTGCGGCCCAAGGGCGCTTGATCGCAACGATTCATCTAGAATTTGGTCTTTGTAACTCAGACTGTGTGTGTAACGAAGTATTTCAGTCGCTTTTTAAATGAACCTGTTTAGCTTTAAAACAAACAAACAAAAAACAAAACGAAACGAAACAAAAGAAAACTCAACAGATTAACCAACTACAGTACTGTACCTTAAAATGCAATTACTGTTTGCAGGACTAATTGAGTAATACCACGTACATACATACGCTCAAAACAAAAACAAAGAATGAACAAATATAAATTGTTATAGGTACAAAAGGAGAAGGAAAGCAAAAGCTTGTGAAAATGAAAATCTCTACTGAGTTTGCAAGAGTTTCTATTTTAAATTGTACACAAAAAATTTAAATATAAATATCGGCTTGCCGCTATTACTATACGCTCTTCAAAGGACCTATTGACGTCCTACTAAATATAATGGCCAGCCAGCAGAAAATACAACCGAGTTGGGTTCTTAGTTATTTATTTAATTTGAAATTAAAGTTCAAATATTTGTTTCCAAATTAAATAATAAAAAAAAAACACTGATCTAATTCGTAGTCCTTCTGTTAATTAATTTTTATTTATCTGTTCTCATTTTCCATTTGTTTAGTTTGATTAGAGAAGTTGTCGAAGTTAGTTGAAGGAGAAAGCGACTTTCTTATCTAATGTTTGAATTAAATAATCGATCAAATAATTACTTTAAAATAAACAGCAATGATTTTATCAATGCACTCATATATGTATAGGAAAAGCAAGACAAAATCAACAAAGTTTCATAAATTTTCAAATTTTCTAAAATATTTAAAATAATCGTATACTACACATACCTGTTCTCTATTATCCATTCTAACACGGGTTTTCTTCTTAGCTATCTAGTCATTACAAAAAAAATTAAAACAATTAAATATTCTAATCACATTAATTGGCAATCAAATGGGACATCCTACTCGTACTTAAGTCTGAACTAATAGAAATACTAACATAAATTTAAAAAATCAAGCAAACGATATCGGTTGATATTTAACTTTTCATTTCAAAAAAATAGAACTGTATCTCGTCTTTGAAAAGCGTATAAGACCTGTAAGCTGCTATGTTTGTAAATGGACGTTTGAGCTAAATAAATATACTTATTAAGAAACAAGTTCCGGACCCGCTCAAAAGCCCGTATACGAACGTAAACAGTTTTGCTTCTTGGCCAAATATCCTTTAGTATTTACAAATAGACAATATCTTTTAACAAGAATGACATGCGAAACCAATTGGTATTATTTATGGCAAATGCCAACAATTTTATACTATGTAGGGTAGTACAAATTTTTTAAAAACACAACACACATTCAACAGAAAGGAAAAATTGAAAAAGTACTGACTACACCAAACAACTCAGACACAAAAATGCTCAAAAATGACGACGATAATGACGATGGTTTTTAAAGGCTGACCAGCATTTAACCACGGCCTTAGACTCAAGTGCATATTGCTTTGCCTAACAAGAAGCTGGTGTTTGCTTGATCTCATGTACATACATAAAACAATGCATAAGCGCTTAAAAACACTAACTTATTACATATTTATGTGTATGTGTATTTTAATGATGTTTCTGTGTTTCATTTTGTGCTAAATTCGTATAAATTTTAATTTAAAATCTCTTCTTTCATTCATTATAGGAATATTTATATACATTTTATTAGGCTAATCATACAAACTAAGTGCATTACATAAATTCAAAATCCGTATACATGTTACGTCCATTAGAGTTATTTATTGTCTTCTACAACTACAACTATAATAACTACACATGAAACGATGCGATTTTAATGAAAAGCAAGCTAAAGAAAAATTAACTTTGCAAATGAAAACTTGTAAGTTAACGTGCGTTGCAAGTTCTATATAGTACTTAGTATATATTGTATATCTATGTAAGCTATATGTTCGTATGTTTAACAGTGCTGTGATAGACTAACACAGAAGTTAGTACCAAACCGATACTCATTTGGATTCCCCCGTCCGCCCAAGTGACCCTGCCCTTAAAGGTTTCATATGCAAATAATCGTAGGAGATCCCATCCCCAAGGATGGCTTCCCTTGAACTTGCTTGCTGTGTGCGTTTGCTCATCCCCAAAATTGCGTTGAGATTTTATAATTAAACCTTTTAATTGATCCTTCGTTGGTTCTTGGTTCTCTTATTTATTTATTATTTGATTTTTATTTTGGCATTCTAAAATGTATTTATTATTATATTTATTTTATCTTGAACGCAGAGTCCACAACCATCCATGACGGCTTCAACAAGCGGCGCTGATGAAAATTTAAATCAACAAAGCTAAACGCCTAAAATTGCATGTTGAGCTGAAGTTTATAACAACAACAACAACAGCAACAAGAAATTTACACAAATTTGATAAAACAAAACACTAATTTTTGAATTTTTGTATTATTAAGCAAAGTTACACAAATTTAAAAAGTATGCAACAATAAATTTCCCACACAATACAAACCGAAACAACAACAGCAATACCAATATGATGTATAATCAACATACATATATAGTATGTACTCGTACACCCAAACAGAATCAAAAATACACACGAATTTCACAAACATACATACATACATCAAAACATAGAATTGAAATTATACATATATGACTAGTTGAGCAATGCACTTATTTATTATACAAAATCAGACATACTATATATGGGAAAAGAGAGTACAGTATATCTCTATCTCTCTATATATATATATTAAAATTTTCATAAATATATATATATGCATACATACTATATGTAACCATTACGATTGTGTATGTGAAAGCAGCAAGAAAGTATCTAAATATTTAAGCAAAATATACAACAAAAAATTATAAAGGATTATTGCATATTTATATGTGTGCTTAGTTGAAAATGTTGAACAAACGTAACCTAAACCTAATGGCTAGATGTTGAAACATTTATTAAAACAAACATACCTACATACATACAAGGACAGAGGAGCGATTATAACATTTAGATACTTTTCAGCGTACACTCACAGATTGGGCCAGATTGGTATACGTATAGTACGAGTATAGGCCAGGAATCGAAAAGGAAGACATACTTTTTAATTTATACCATTTCTTTAGTAAATCGCATCTATCTCACAATTTATTTACACCCTGTTACAACATGTAAGAACAAAGCATAATAAAACAAAAAAAAAAAACGTTTTCTCATTTATCAAAACTCGAGCGTTGCACTTAATTTTCGAATCGAACCATTTAAGCAAGTATGTAGATGAAAAATCAAGGAATCGCAATCGCATTCTAATTGAATTTGGCAACTCAGTAGCAAGTTAAAAGTCGCCGCCACCGCCACGCCCCGCAAGCGAGCAAAATAAAATAAAAAAAGTACAACAAGAAAAAGCACGCGCACACATATCTAAATCATTGGAAGTATTGGTAATATATACAAATATCAACAATTAAATTTTTGTAAGTTTTTATCTTTCAAATGGATTATAAATAATATATGCATCTGATTCATTTAGTTACTGCTAATACATGACCTTCCCCACCTGTCCACAGTATTGGAAGGCGCCGCGCATCCAACGAGCCACCACACTGACCTCATCCATGTCCTTGCCAGCTGAATGTTTGGTTCTCTCCGTCTCGATGCCATCGCTCAACTCTGAACCGAAACGTCCCAAAAGCGCTGGCGGCAAAAAGAAGCCCGGCCAGGCATTGCATCCCAAGCCCTTCCGTCTTTATTGAGATGCCGTTGCCGTCTATTCCCCTAGCCGACACGTCGCACCTTACTATACAACACCAATTCCAGTGGCAATGGAAAACATCAAGGTTTACCGAACACCAAACAAATTGTTATACTACTCGGTTCTGATGTTTTGTGAAATTGTTAACAAGTTGTCCTTCTACTTACTATTTATATTTGAGTTTCTTGGCACATGGCAATTATACACCAATCATGAAGATATAGTATATCACAAGAATCTGTTAATTGTTTAGACAAAACGAAAACGTCGCATTTAAATAAAAATTTTAAATACAAATCTCTCCAATGAATCATACAACTTTATACCGCTGTTTAGACGAACTATTATGATTTCTGAGCATGCAAGTATCACAAATCAGAGTAATTCGTCTAAACACGACTATAGAGTGTTTTATCTTTTAATAATTACAGTATATATATATTTCTCGTAAGTATTAAATCAGTTAACAGTCGCTGTTCCAATAGAACTAGGCGCCAGATTTTTCGTTTTACATTTCATTTACATAAGTTTGTAGTTTCCCTTCGTATTTAAATAAATACAAAATGTTTTGGGGTTTGTTAAGTTTTCTTTTTGTGTGTGTTTGAAAATGTGTTTGCTTCATTTTGATTCGAGTCAAGTTACATTTAAATGCATTCTGTTTACTTTCATTTACATTGTTTCGTTTCTTGTTCATTTGATTTTTTCACATTTGTTCTTTTTTGTTTTTGCTCTACTTACGCCATAAAACTTGTTTATACATTGAATTGTAAAGTTATAATAATAAATAAGTTAATACATCAAAAAAAGTAATAAACAACAGTGTGTACAATTCAAATGTCAAATGAGCATCAAGTCATATATTCGAGAGAAAAAAATGCTGCTTGTTATAATGCTTGCCTAGCTTAATTATCGTATAAACTTTTTGTTGATTCTCTAAGAGCTCGTCGTCAAGTGATTGGCCATGCTTTGTTATACATACGTATGTATTAGGAAAGGTTTTTCTTTGCTACATAATTATAATACATTTAAAGAAACATAGGAAACGTACATAAATACAATTTGTTTTTAATCATAATTTAGCACTGATATGCGAAACCAACGAAAGTTGAAGAGGCTTTATAACTTGCTTTGCTTGCGTTTTACATTTAGCTGCGACGCCGTCGTGTGCAAAAGTAGTTCTGATTTATGTTAAAATTAGTAAAAATACATTCGATTCAATTGACTAGATTTCTATGTATGTATATATATGTGTTTGTGTTGCTGTTTTTAATTGTAGTTTTTGATGTTTCTTTTTCTTTGTTATTGTTGTTGGGGAGGGAGTCGTTTTGTGTATCAATACAAATAATTTCAAACTTATAGAAATAATGAAATACATGCTCAATGAATGAGTTTATGAGTTGAATTTGCTAAATGTTAAATGGTAGTTCAGGGCAGTTATGTTGTAGTGTGGTGTGGTGAGTGATGCTGCATTGTTGTTTTGAGTACGCTTTGTCGCCAGTTGGATGCAAAATGCGCCCTGCCTACATTTACATAACTAAACACTTTCGTTGACGTCGCTTTAATGGCTCTGGTCTGAGCACAGCACGTACCGCTTCTTCGAAAACCTAAAAGCGAAAACATATGGATTATATGACTAACACTGACTCATTGGTATATTTTTGATGTTTCTTGTTTACGTACTTGCTTCAGGCCACGTTGTGTTAATGCAGAGCATTCCATATATTTCACGGCACGTATTTTGTTCGCCAACTTCTGACCTTGTTCACGCTTAAGCGGCGTCAAGCCTTGCTCGGCCAGGCCGCTCAATGTCTCACGATCGTCACGCAAATCGATTTTGGTGCCTGCAATAATCAAAAAAAAAAAAAAAAAAAAAAGCGCACACGTAATTTTATGACCAGACGTTTGATGTTTCTTGTGTATGTATGTATATACACATTAATTGGCAACTTACCAACTAGAATAATGGGCGCGTCAGGGCAGTGGTGTTTTATCTCCGGATACCATTTCGATGTGACATTTTCAAATGATGAGGGACTCGCGACACTGTAACATATCAGAAAAACGTCTGTCTGTGGGTACGATAGCGGTCTTAAGCGATCATAATCCTCTTGTCCAGCGGTATCCCAAAGTCCCAGCGAAACCTGTATTGTGTCGACTTGCATGGGTGCGGAGTAGTTGTCAAAACTGTGCGAAATGATTAAATTAAGTTGAGGAAGGTGTGACTGTTTGTAAAAACTTACACTGTAGGCACATATTCACCGGGAAAGCTGTCTGTTGTGTAGGAGATTAGCATGCAAGTCTTTCCGACAGTGCCATCGCCAACGACGACACATTTTATGGGCCTTCCGGTTGACATCGCGGCTCGTGACTGCGTTTCTTTATTTTGCTGAGTAGTGGCGACCTGAGTAAGCAAAAAGTAGAGAAATAAATGTGTACGAACAATTGGATGTTTTAAGTGCGTGTGCGCTTAATTCAATTAATTAAGTTCTACTTAAAGCAATAAAACTTTACAGCAAAAACTGTGCGCATCTTATCTGACCAACAAACACATTAATATAATTTAATTGCCTGAAAGGGTCTCTTAAAGCATAACGAACTGCGAAAACACTAAAAAAAACACATGGTGATGATCAAAGACAAGCATCGAAGGTGTGTCCCAGCCAAAGCAGCGAAAACCACGTCCATAGCGAATGAGCATAAAACATAATAAAAAGAAAAGTTGACATAATATACTGGGTTGCGTTTTTTTTCTGTTTTTTTGCAAGAAACTTACGAAAATAGATCAAAATGTGGCAGCGACTGAGGCACACATAGTAAATAATAAAAACAACATGCACACACACATGCGAAATGGCAATTGAGGCGATGACAGAGGAGCCCCCTAGGAGAACGGGGCAGGCGCCAATGGAGCGAGCTTTGAATGCGTGAGGCGGCGGCAGCCCAATTCAAACATGGGCACATGCTGTTTATATGTATGTATGTGTGTGTGTCGCGGTGACGCGGAAGCCACCGGCCGTCGATGCGCATTGTTAAAAATAGACGCAATTAAGTTCCTAATAATGCAGGCGACGTACATACATATGTACATACATAAGTGTAAGGCGCTCTGGTAGCTATCCGTCTAGCTGGCGCCGCCTGACATGATTTAACCATAATTCGTATGCCAATTCAATTAAAGTTCAACTGAGGCACCTCGCCCGCCACAAAATGCAGCGCATGCACGCATGGGCAGGGCACACACAAATACAAATCCATCCATACATATGTATGTACATATGTATATGGAACGATTCTATTGTTATGGTCGCACTTGTGTGTTGTTCCTGCTACATCAGTGTAGTTGTTGTTTGTGCTCATGGGGCGGAGTTGTCGCCCTCGGCAGCAACCGGCATTTTTACAGTGCAAGTATTAAACCAATTTCGACATTGTCGATGTGAAAATGTGTTAAATATAGATGATTTGTACCGTTTTTAACTATCCTTTGTCCGCACCAGATTCAGAGCTGTTGAGGCGTCAGTTTGTATCTGTGTGCTATATAAATTTAACGCATTGGCCTCCGAGCCAGCTTATACGTTTTCTTTTCCACTAATTTGTAAATAATTTTATAAATAATTGATAGTTTAACTGGCCGCGCAAAGTTCTACTTTACTATTTTCGTTTTTTCTTTTTGTTTCACGCACGCACACACACACGCACAAACCTTCGACATGGTCAGCGTCTCCCAATGGGTTGTAGTGTTGTACAATCTGCCGTAGAAATAGCGCGGTTTGGCGTTGCTAACACTGTTACTGTTGTGCGGGCAGCGAAATGTTAAAAATTGTTGTATCTTATAATTTGTCCAATAAATTGTTTCAAAGTCTACTACAATCACGATCGAACAGCAGAAATTTAAGCCTAACGAATGTGAGGCATGGCGTCGCAAAGGAGGATGGTGCTGAGCCCTCAGTTAAAGTAGAAAAAGACTCTCACATTACTCTGATAGGTATAAACAGACCACAACAGCGGAATTCCATAGATGGGGCCACAGCTGAGAAGTTAAGTGAGGTCATAAGACAGTTTGAGGCTGATGATACGTCGCCTGTGGGCGTGTTGTATGGAGTGGGTGGATCGTTTTCAGCTGGCTACGATCTCAAGGAACTAGAGACGGAGGCGCTGCGCGGCAGCTTGGATTTCCTACTCCGTCGTGAGGGTTCTATGGGCCCGACGCGGCGACATCTGCGAAAACCAATCGTATGTGGGATAAGTGGATTTTGTATAGCTGGCGGTCTGGAATTAGCCCTTTTTTGCGACTTGCGCGTCATGGAAGACACCGCTGTGATGGGCTTCTTTAATCGTCGAATGGGCGTGCCACTAAGTGATGCTGGCTCAGTGCGCTTGGCCGCCGCTGTTGGATATTCAAAAGCCTTGGAAATAATAGAGACGGGTCGGCGAGTTTACGCGAAGGAGGCATTGAAGATTGGACTGACCAATCGTATTGTGGCTACTGGAACAGCTCTAGGCCAGGCCGTGAATTTGGCCTTTTCAATCGCTAAATTTCCAATGTTGGCACTACAGCATGATCGCCAAGCTCTCTTGGACAATTGCAATGCATATAATCGTCCCGGTTTTCAGGCAGCTGTTCACAACGAAATCATGAATGTGTCCCTTGCCATGGTGACGGAAATGCAGGAGGGTGTAAAACGATTCAGGAGTTGTAAGTAGTATTTTAAACATAAAGCAATGCTTTCAATTTACAATCCATCGCATTTTTCCGTAGCTGAAGTCAAAGGAGCCAAAGCCGATTCGTGGCATATCAAGGAAAAGTCCATTCCCGATTGGGAAAAGGCAGAGATCGCTATAGAGGAAATGAATAAAAAACAGTAATTGTTTTTTTTATAAATAAATGAATATTCCATAAGCAATTTAAGTGCAATATTAGTAAAATATTTCCGATGTTTTATGTTTGTTTGTTTTTATTATAAAACGCAAGCCTTTATTCACATAAAATACATTGATTTATTATACTTAGTTCCTGCTTAAATCGTTTACGACTTGAGTTTATGTTTCAATATATTCACAACAATTACAATAACGAAGTTTCTTGAAATTAGGCCTAACTACCAAAAGGAGTAAGAGAAAAAGCACAAAGTTTGTCTTTTTTCATTGACCGTGTTAACATTCACAATTAGTTTATAAAAAAATATGCTAGCATTAAGAATATGCTTAATTATTAAGTGTGATGCCAAGCGTGTTAATTTGTTTTAGTTTTTAATATTATTTTCAAAGCGAGTTACTTAGAAATATGTCTTGGTTTCATTATTTATTTCACCTATATGCTAAAGTTGCAATAGTTATGCATAACGAGAAAGAAATTGTTGACGTTCAATTGGTTGTTATTGCACCCAACCCGAAAACAAAACATAGTTACATATATGCAAGAAAGGCTGCTGTCGTGTACAAACTAGTTTAAAAAACGACTGAAAAATAGTTGTTAAAATATCCATTATTAATATACGTATGCCTATCATTCACACTTGACGCACCTTAAAAAATACTTAACCCAAAAAATTTGTCATACAAATATTGCACAAAAAATGGATCGGACAGTGAGTTTGCATCCCCATTGCGAATTGCAAAAACCTTCAATCAAGTGGTGGTATATGTTTTTTGTATATATACGGTATCGGCATCTTCGGAAACCTAAAAACCACATACACAATACGTATTTACAAATAAAAGCATTGCCGCTAATTATTGGCGCTTTACATATTTATGGCATAAAGTGCAAGACTTGAAAACGCTCACGTATAAAAAATATTATATAGCATAAGTCATTCAAATATGGCATAGGTAGATGGACAAGCGCACAAAGAAAATCGGGTGCCTGCACACAAAAAGCAGGTGCCGCGAGCTCTGCGTGATTGGAGCATATAGTATGTGATATAAGTACAATGAAGAACGATCCAGATAGCCGTTTACTTTAGACGCTGCGTGACATTGGCAAGAGCCACGGCGAATGCCTGCAGTGCTGAGAACGGATACTGGAAATCCAGAGTGTAGGCATTTCCATCAATGCGTCCAAATTGCATGACCTAGAAGATAAAAGGAAGGGATTATTAGACTAATATTCCAGAAAACTTTATTAGGTTGAATAACACAGGTTGAATAACACACAATATCACATTCGTGACATGCGAATAATTTTCGACTAAATAACTCTAAATGAAGTTACCTGCTTGCCGCGGAATTCAATTTGAAAGTTCTTGGCCGACTCCTGTGTAACACGTCCTCCAAAATCTAGCTGGTACACTTGACTCATCTCATTCCACATTGGGGCTTTGTTATGCATCACGAATTCCCGACGTACGGGCGCTGGGTTCGCCGAGCTAGCAGTACCATTGGGCTCAATCTTTCCACGTTTCAGCTGATAGAGCAAACAAGTTTATACAAATATACAAATTTATTATATATGTATATAGAAAAAACCACCAACTATTTAGTATACCTTCTGACGCAGCTGCGCCTTTTGGAATGTTTCGAGATCGCGATATTGTTTGCTGTTGCCATTGGTCGCGCCCATTTCTTCGCCGGACCCATTAGTCAGATTGCCCTCATCATCGGAGCTCTCGATTATGCTCTGTTTTTTGCGCTGTCTACGATTGAGAAGTGGCGAGTTGAGTATATGTCGTATAGGCGAGTTGCTTTGCTGGCGTTTGTTTTTCTTAGTGGCGGCAGGTGAGGCTGGAGAGCTGCGCGGCAGACGTTGTGGTGTGGAAGGTGGCGTTAAGCGACCCTCATCCAGATCACGCAAGCGGCTGATGATGTTTTCCAGTGTGGTAAGTGCCTAGAAATATTTTGAAGATTAGTAATGTGATTGGCTAAGTTATATTAAGTAAGTTATTGACCTGGGTGTGCAGCGAAACGGATGTTTTAGCTTCTACTGGCGTTGCTTCCACAGTGCCAGCCACACATCCAGTATTTCCATCTGCGCTGGAGGCAGAATGCTGGCGTCCCAAGGAGCTCGCATTGCTGGTTTCATTTGGTTGACTGTTTTGACTGCTAGGCGTTGTATTATCTTTACGTCGCCAACGCACTTCGGACAACTGCTTCACAAAACTGAAACTGTTCTCATTTTTGCGTCCCAGCACCGGTGTCGAGTTCTCTGTAGTGCTGCCAGCTGTTAGCTCCTTATTACGTCCATTGCCAAAACGATGCTTGCGCGTAAATAGCGGACTATCCGTAAAGCTAGTGATAACATCAAAGCGTTTTTTCGGAGTCGGAGCCCCTGACGCCTGCTGCGGTGTCTTCTGTTTGCTTTGGTTTGTCGTCGTTTTCGCAACTTCATTTAGGGGCTCAGCCGCTAAAATCTCGTCCAGTGCTGATTTTGCAGCCGGCTGGCAACGCTTGCATGCGTCACTCAGATTCATATTGTTGCGGCACTTGAAGCAGAGGGTGTTGGCTGCACTGCTGCAGGCGCTGCTGTCTGAGATCTCCTGCAGTTTCTTGACAACCTTCTCCGTTTCCTTACTGGACAACTTCGTTTGTACCGATAACAAATCACAAGAGTCCAAACTTTTGGATTTTCCAGTTTGCTGCAACTTCGGCTTGCGCATATCCTCTTGCTGATTACGTTTGCGCCGATTACGTCTCTTGTCCACCAAAACCAGCCGCTTGTTGGGCGCATCCTTACGAAGAGCTGTCAGCGCCTCATCGGAAGGCGTTATAGCCACGGAATCGAGATAGCCAACGCTACAACTGCGTGTTATGGAATCGGGCAACGCAGGCGCAATGGACACAACTGTGGGTGTGCGTTTCATGCGCAGCTCAGAGGCTGGAGTTGCCAATGCATTGGGTGATTGTGTCTCCTCATCTATGTAGAGCATGTCGCGTCGTTTGGACGTTGAAGGCAAGCACTTTACACGCGCAGCAGCATCCATGCGCTCGAGGTTTAAATTAAGATTTAGTGGCACAGGATTTACATGACTCGTGGCCGAGCGCATGGGTTCCGACATCAGAGCGTTCTTCACCTGCACAACATTGTTGGCGTAGTCCGCGTTGCTGGAATAGGACATGAGTGTGGTCTGTCCCACTGCGGGTACAGCAGGGCGTTCGAATATTATATCGGAGGGTGCAACCGCATTTTTTGGCGATTGCAATGTGGGCACAGCTCCATCACAATAAAGTGGTGAGATAGCATGACGTGACTGACAGCTCGAGTTGGAGCTAGAGCGACTATAATTGTTCTTAAAGCCACTGTAGCCGGCCCCAGGACCACTTCGTGCTCCAGGAGTTGTAGCGGTTATGTTTTTGGGGCGCATAATTTTGCTACTACTGTTATTACTGCTTGGGACGGTTCCATTCGATGTACTGGGTAGTGCGGCATTGTGAAGCAACACTGTGGTAGATTGTGCACTATTGCCGGCTGCCTCCTGAGATTCATTGGACGAGTCATCATCGTAGGATTCAGCTCGCGCCAATGGACTGATTCCTGCGCTACCTGAGCCACCGACGGATCCCCCGACAGTTAGCGAATTCTTATGCCGTGCCAGAATACGATTGGGACGTGGTGACATGGGCGCAATGGGTGGTGCAGAGCCGCCATCATTTAAACGACGCTGTGGTATTGCCGGTGGCTTTAATGAAGCCACATTGAGCGCCTCCTGAACCAAAGTAGAGGCCGCTGTGACATTAACATGTGGCACATTATCGTGAGCAACATTTCCATTATTGTTATTGTTGTTGTTATTGTTGTGCTGCTGCTCGTCTTCGTCCTCAGAGAAAAGGTTGGGATTAAAACTAGGATCGGGCCCGGGTGGAAAATCGTCGCGCAGCTCGGTAATGACTAGGGTCATTTGACGCGGTTGCAAATGCAATAGGGACGTCTTATATGTTACTTGGCCTAAATTGGCTGGGACGGTTTTGGCAAGTCCATGGATTTTGAATTTCGTGCCCCAGATGTTGGAGGTCACCTCGACCAACTTGACTTCCTGCTTGTGTAGATTAGATCATTTCCATGTAGAGCATATAAGAGTTCCAAAGAAATTTTTCTTACCTCGGGCAGCGTATCGACATAGGCCAGTTCATCCAAGCTGTCAGGATCATTGGCCGCACCAGCTGCAGAAGTTACACGTTCGCCAGGCTGATTGCGTCGTTTGGGTCGAACGCGTCTTCGGCGGGGCGTGCGGGGCGAGCCATAGCGAAAGCGCTCATCGTAGTCGCTGTCCGACGAATCAGTCCGTCCGCTATTACCTGTTGTGGTCGACTGACTAGAGCCGGATGAGCTTTTACCCTCTGTGTTGTATTGGAAATAGAGTGAGGAGTCTGTAAGAATGCCAGAGCGGGATTTACTTAGTTACAAGTATTATATTTATTATACCTTAAACTGAAGCTATAGGTTTCTGCAAGCACTATCAAAACCTGAAACAGTTTGGTTTAAAAGATCTGCATCCTTTCAAAATATACTACGAGAGAAGAATGAATTTGTTCACACGGGGAGAGTTTTAAGGTAGCTCTTCTCTCAGGCTACACATTTTACCCTTTGGTCAACCAGTTGGTCGACTGAACAGACTTTAATAAAAAGGAAGACTCTATCTTGAATATTTTCTAAAGAACCATCAGGGAGGGAGGCACATTTCTTTCATGAGAGTTTAAATTGTCTAGAAGTACGACCTGCACTACTTGCGGTGTAAATTAGCTGACATAGGTGCTGGAATGAAGGGTTCTCTGGTAGAATTATCCTTAGTAGAACGATAACATAGCTATGCTCATTAAGTAATAAGATTTATTTAAGTCATAGCCTTAATCGAGAACTTAGATAACTCATTATTATTAAGTACACTAACCATTAACTTGCGGATCGAAGATGACAAATTCAGGCCGTATTTTCGAAGTGCGCTTGCCCTTGAGAAGTGGCACTAGACCTCCCAAGTATTCCAAATACAGTGTGTAACAGGTGCCTGAGCTCAGATTGGAATCGTCATCATGTCGAATCATGGTGCAATGTAGCCGTGTAGAGCACAACGGCGGACGTGAGACAAAGTCACGCAACGACTTAAGATCAGGTACGCAGCACTGCAAAAAAACAATTATTATCTATCTACAATTAGTTTGAACAGTGAAGATTTACTTACTCTAATTGTTTGAGCAAAAAGATTTCCAATGAGGGACTTAATTCTAGAAGGCAATGGAAGCAGCGGCAACAGAGTTTCGGAGCCTACGCTTGCCTGTATCTGCAGACGGCAGAGCAACTGCAGTGACGCAACTCGTCTGGAGACCCAAGCAATGTGCACCTGTGTGCCTGTGGCAATGAACAGGCGTTTGTCGTTGTGTCCCCAGGTGATGGCAGAGACGGTGGTTGTAGTGCATGGAATGTGCGCCTGATACAAGCAATTTCCCGTCTCCGTATAGAACTTAACCAGATTGTTGTACGACGTTGGTGTGCCCAGTTCTTCCAGCTTCCCATCCATGCCCATACGGAGTGTGCCTGCAACGGCGAGAAGCTCACGGGAATTGCTCCACTCCATGACCATGCCAAGAGCTCCGTTAAGGTAGGTATTGATATGTGCGGGTGAGACGTCGTCGAACGACTTTAACAAATAAATATAGCCATTTTGAAAGCTAACCGCCAGCACGAAAGAGCGTTTGGCTGAAAAAGAATTGCGAATCTGTAGATTACATGTATATTTTATGAAGTATTTAAGAATCAAATTTTCAGCTAAAACCTTTTCATTTATTCTTCCCTCTCTCAAATGCCGATTTTAAAAACTACACTTGATTGAGAAAAGTGAAGCTCAGTGCTGAAGCGCTAACTTACAGGCATTGGTTACACCAGGTTCCGCCTCTTCGCCCTCCTCCATTTTGAATTTCTCGCAGGACCAGGCCATCGAAGTAATAGGCACATCGTTGGATAGTTGTACCTGCGACACCATAGCACCATGCACATCCATAACAATCACTTGACCCTGCGTGGTGCCAAAATAAACTTGTTGATCGTCCGGCGTCCAAATGCCGCAAGTGATCGTAGACTCCAGATTCAACATGGACGACCAGTAACGTTGCCCGGCCACTGAACCGACCAGGACAAAACCATCCTGATAGCAAATCAATGCCATGCGTCCATCATGTGACCAGGAGAAGTGTGTGACTGGAGTATTGCGATCGTTGATTAGTTCTATGGACCAACGACCTTCATATTTGATCCACACAAAAATTATGCCCGAGCTGTCACAGCTGGCGAGCTTCTGATACGGCTCATTCCACTTGACCAGAATCACCTTAAAGAGAGTTTAATCAGTAAGCTAACACTTAAGTTGATTACAGACCTCATTAAACTTACATCCGATCGATGGCCACGTAAGTTGTAGTTTGTCCGTAACGGATAGTCCATGTTCTTGCGACAATGCGACGTCGTAAATGTGACGCCCACAATGCCGCGTATGTTGCCCGTGGCCAGCCAGCCTTCCTGATAGTAATTGGTGCGATTGAGCTTCCAGCCCTCATCCTACAATCAAACAGAATTTGTGTCTTCATAAGCATACCGTGTCAATCACAATCAGTTCGCCTGTCGATTGGCAATTTGCCTAAGCAACCGAGAATTGCCTGCAAGTCAAGTGACACCTTTTACAAGTATTGACTCTTGCAAGATGGTCCCTGCCACACCCACTACTCTGTTCAAACTTATAGCCAAAAAGAAAGAAGAAAGAAATGAAAAATGGATTACAGCAAGGCTCAAAGCAAAAGAGCTCTCGGTCTCTTTGGCAGCGGTAAACATGCTCCACTTGCACTTTGTGCATTGCTTGAGTCTGCCTCCGCCTGGCTTCCATTTTTTAGTCAATTTTTGCAGCAAAGTTTTTGCCTCTACATATTTCTAGCTCCCTGTGTTACTTTTGAAATGTTCGCCCGCCTGCATTTGAAAGGCTCTTTGGCTGTTTATCTGCATCAGAATTTTTTCCTTTCTGCTGCTGTTGCCTGCAGGCTGCAGTCAACATTTGCACTCGACTCGCTATTCAATTCGAAATCTGATTGTTTTTCTGTAGCCTACTTTTCAGCTCGGTGCGCGCATTGCTGGCCCAGAGATAAGCCCAACAACGACAAAAACATCAACGAATTAGCATTGGTGAACATTTTTCATTAGATTTGTGTGAGTGCGTGTGTCTACGTGCGTAAGTATAATCCGCATAGTTTATGCCAACGTGGCATCGTTTTGTCTAATCCCCGCTAAGCCGAAACGCGGGCCGGGCATATTTTAAACAGCAAATCCAATTTGAGCTGCAAAAATTAAAAAGCAAAGTTGAAAGACAACGACAACGACAACAACTACGAAAGCAAGGTACAGGACATGACGCTTTAAGCCCTTGGAACGTGAAAATTTGTAATTTCCGTTTAGTCAGCAGGTTTCCTCAGTTTCCTCAGTCTATGTGTGGAAATACACATATGTATTGGTACATACGAGTACATAGGATGGAGGGTTTGTCAGTTGGACCGTTGGGCGTTTGTAAAATTTTATTGATTGACGCCCACACGTTAATAGCTTTATTAGCTCAATTGTGATGTTGACGATGTGTGTTTGTCGTCCTTGTCCACTTCCTCGTCGTCGTCGCCGGTCAATGCATTGCAATTAAATAATGGCCATAATGACTGAAGAACGTGTGCGCTATGTCCGTGACATAAATGCACGGCGAAAAACCCATGCCCAGAGAACTAAACCGAGCGAGTCAGCATATTCAAATGAATTATCCTTTACATATGAAAGTACATGTGCGTAAGGAAAAGTGTGCATGCAGTGCAAATATTACTCGTATGACCCATGGCTGTAATTAGTGAAGGAAAAACAAATACATATACGCATACGTATGTGTACATAACAACTCTACTGTGTACATTAAATTACAGAACTTACAAAAAAGCAAGAGACATTACTAGAGTCGAGCAAGCTTGACAGTGAAATGCCCTTTACCCAAACAAACTTCTGCCGAAACGGGGGAAAAGGAAACTTAATGCTGCAGTTTGATCGAAGAGGTATATTGTTTTTGGTGTTTAAGTTAGTAACGTACATTCGAAATCATAAGTAGAATATTAGTAATAGGCACATAGTTGATAACCACGACGATTACTAATGTCCTATTTAAATGTTACCAACGAGTTTAGTGTCGCTTTTTTGAAAGCCAACTATATTTAAGAAATGAAAGAACAAGCGAAAGAACATATGAATACAAAATGGTGCTCCTATTTAAAAGTGTGTCCAAACACTTTCCCAACAAGACGCATGCCTGCATATCAACTTTGTAGAGCAGTAATCGATTATTGTTAATGGGACAAAGAGCCCTGAGAACTTTTCAAGCACAACAGCTAGCGACTCCAAGTCCGGTATGTAGACTTGTCTATTCATAAGCAGAGCAACCTTATTACAAGTAACATATAGACTCATTAATATAAGAATGTAGCTACCAAAGGACCGATTGTTGTTAAGCTAATTTAATATTTACAAGTTTTTTTTATAATAATACTATAATTTGAATTTTCATATAAACCAGTGCACTATAGTCTTTAGTTCACTTTTACATACGTTCTGCGTCTATATTCTGCGAGAATGATATTTTAGGAGTTTCTGCAAATGTTCACTCAAATTTGAAAATATTTACAATAGATCTATAACTTAAAACTCGAGTTCACAACAATGGTGGTAATTTAAAAGTCAATTTAATTGACAACAATGAAAACATTAGAAACTATGCAAATACAAATTTAGGGACAGTAAAATTGTTACAAACATGTTAATGATATATTCCTTAAACTTATAATGTGTTCATGGAATGAGATATTGTCTCTAATGGACGATGTACATATTTTTACACATATACAAGTAGTATGAGTATTTGTATTTAAAGCCTATTCGTTTATGGAAAACATTTTAATAAGAATGATGATATTCCCAACGTTTTCGTTCCCAGATCTTGTGTTGTGCCAATGCCAGTGGCAGACTGTAGCAATTCATCTGTAAATACTATACTCATACTTGTATATTGCAGTATTATAGCAAGCATAAGCTCTCATTGTATCTGTTGCACGATCAATGACGGCAGCTGGCCGTTAATTTGTATTTTTATGCGTAATCGACAAGCAATTCAATGCCTCATTATGGCACATTTCAAAATGTTCAATGACAGCAGCGGACATTTCAAATAAAAAGCATCTTGTTGCAGCTTTCAATGCATGCCACTGAAGTGTAATTAACCTTTCATTGGGCCACTTGAATGGTTGATACATACATACAAAAAGCCATTCAATTTACATATGTATATATGTATTCAATTTATTTGCTTTTGAGCTCAAGTGTTTTGGGGAGCACTCGAGGCAACGCTACACTAAGTTTATCGAAAAGACCAAAAGGAATTTTTAGTGCACTTCAATTTAATAACCGCAACTAAAATGCACTGAAATGTACCGCATTTTTAGGATCAATTTAAATATGCGATATAATCAACAAATTCAGCTCTACATTTTGTTTATGCCAATAAACATCTGCATACATATACAAATTTTGGATAAATATATACATGCGGATAACATGTACATGTTGGACGTGCAGTTTGTATAAACAAATAATTAAACAACAAACAGAATTGTCTAAAATATCGAATTTCTGTTCAGTTTCTGTTTGAACTTTTGCGACCCTAGCCATAAATTCAAAAGAACCAGAAATACGGTTAACGTTTTTGTTTAGTTATTTGGGCTCGTTACTGGGCCTGCGGCAGTGTCTAATCAAATTTTCCTTTAATGTTGTAATTTAATTTAATAAGCAACATAAACGGAAACAACTACAACAACAGCAGCCACTGCTGCGTCAATGTCAGAGACTAGGCATCCGTGCTCTTAGGCGTTGTTGTTGCTGCTGCTGTTGCTGTTTGGAAAGTGCCTGCCAGCAACTTGTTAGCTGTTGTTGCCACGTTGGTGCTTAAAAGCGCGAAAAATGTGGCAAGTGCCTGTTTGTTGTCCTACCTGTCCGCTTTTCTCTTTCTCTCCCTCTCAGTCTGCATGCAATGCAGAAATTGCTTTGAGTGCAACAACATCCGTTAGGTCGACGATGCAGCCTTCGTAAATCAGCTGAGGCCCATGGCAATGGCCGCCAAACAGACAAAATGGCTGCCACTGCATGTACATAAGCTGGCTAAACAAATGCAGAAGAATTTTCCAATGCTATGTTAAGTTTTGGACTCTGCTGTTATGTGCAAAAAAAAAAAAAACAACACAGTTTGAATAAATACCTGAAAAGCACTTGAATTTGCTTATCTGTATGAATTAGCATTTCAACAGCTTTTAAACCTAATTAGTAATGTCGTATTAGTTTAGTTTGCGCTAATGTACATTTCTGTGGTCTAGGATCTTTTTGGGGTTGCGGTGTGGTCCACAGAGTAGCTGACAAAACAAAAAATTAATTAAATATAGCACTTATGGAAATTAATTATTCAAATACTAACTCAATGTTTATGGCTTTGAATAAAATTTACGTCAAGTGATTAAACTAAATTCTTTTCATTTATGCAGCTACGTATCTGTTTTTAACTGCTTTGGCGTTGGCGCCCTGTAAATGGCGCATAAATCTAAGTAGCAAAGAAATGGTTCAACGTTCCCTTTTAATTTGTTGCATAGTTGCACAAACAGAAATGGCAACGCATAGTTGCCCCAAAATGTTCTAAAGCACAGCGGCACTGCAGCCACGATGGCTATCAGTGCGGCGGCTGCTTCAGTGTTTGTGTGCTATGTTTGGTCATTACCGCAATGCCTGGCGATTGTGTCATGTGGCAGAGTGGGGTGCGGCGATAAATTATAGCTGCCATTTGCACACAAAGCGCGTTGCTTTAGTCCAGGCCACTGTGGCATGCGTCCTGTGCCAGGCTCCATTTCAAATGACCGAAATCTCACGCGCACATGCACGCATTTAATTAAAAGTCATTTTTGACAGAAACACCTGCAATTTTTGGGTGCTTCCTATTCACGGCTATTTAATTATAGCCCAGAGAGACGCGAAGGAGTCAGAGAGTGTGTGTGTGTGTGTGTGTGTGAGAAAGAGAGAGAGATATGACTATCCATTAGAGCAAAGTCGTTGGCCACAGCAGTTCAAATTGCATTAACAATAATTGAAGTTTATTATGCATGTCGGCACACGGGGACGACAGGTGCTCCTCTCAGCTGGCCATTTGCTCGCCTCATGCTAATGAGCTCGTGTGCATAAAATGAATATTAAACAAACACTCGCAAGGCATATTATCTATGAACTAATGCAATATTAACAATTATTAAATTGAATTTTAGCAACGTGCTTTCTTGTTTAGCCGGCAACGCGTCGTATGCGCAATGAAAGTAAACGCAAAAGAGACTCTTTTAAAAAGTTCTAGCGGGCTTTTTTATTTGTATTTTGCTTTTATTTTTAGAGCATTTTGTGAGCAAATTTAAATATACACGCATCAAAAGGTTGCTGGTCAGTCAACGTGTGTTTATTTTCGGCACTCTCCAATGCTCTAAAAGAATGTAATTCTGTGTTTGTGTTTTTTTGTGGGCGTTATTCTTGCTCAATGCACTCACAATTTTGAGGTCAAGTACATCAAATGTTAAGTTTCGTTTTCAGCAGCAAATTCCTCCACTGTGGACCAACAAATGGAAAAAGGTAATGGGCAAGAGGCGGGTGCGACAGTTTAGGCAACAGACGGATGAAGTAATTCAAATCTTATCACCATCTGCTGCAACATCTCTCTCTTGGGCGCTCTTTAGCTTGGGCTGCTGCTCTTTCTGTTTCTCAGAGCTTCAAAGTGAAATGCGCTGCGATCACTCAACACATTTTCGCCGAACATTCGCCATTCAGTTGCCAAAGTTCGTTTGCGCTGCGTTCAACGGCCCGGCGAAACATTTCACTTGCAAACATTTGTTTTAATTGTGAAAATGTGTGCGCCGCGTATTAAAAATTAAAGCTGAAGAAAACATTTGCCGCCCTAAGTTTTTTTAAAAATACATTAAAACAATATGCTTAAAACAGTTCTACTTCTCTATGCCATAACTCAGGCGTACCTCTGCCTTGGTGTTCAGGGCAAAAGTTTCTTTGGTGTTGGTCATCGCATTGATGGCGATCAGTTGTTGCTCAAGGACGAACAGCATTCACGTCCTGGCAGCAGCACTGAGCAACCCCGTGTAGTCTTCAACTATGAAATAGCCGAGCCAATTAACTACATCGAAATCACGTCGGAGGAAGTGAGTTCAGTGGATGTCGCAAAATTTGCATATTTTTAAATAATTTAAAATAGATTTCGTTGTTTTCGTCATTTTCGTCATTTTCGCGCAGTCCACGCGAGCCCAACACGAAAATAACAAGTGAAAAAAAGTCACAAACAAAATAAAAACACATCCGAGTCTTATAAGTAAAAGCATACATGTGAATGCTGTTTGGAATATTTTCGAGACAAACATACATACAACTATGTGCTTGATTATGAATTGTCAGCATATAATTGGGTTAAAAGAAAAAGGCAGCTGTTTATTTTTGCCTTTATGCTGCCCAAAACGCGTTAATTTACCAAATGTATAAGTAAATTGTTAAATTTGCTGACATATTCAATGAGTATTTCAAAAATATATGGTTATTGTTTTCGATTTTAGAATTAGTAATTAGTAGCCCTTGGATTAACAAATATGTAATAAAAATGTTGTCAGTTTTAGAATTTCAAGAAAATTCCACTTTGAAAATGTTTTGCAAGTGCCATATAATTAGCAACTACAAAACCGCGCATTAAAATGTTTGAATGAGCATACACATTTGCAGGAAAAAGAGACAATCTTTGACATCAAATAAAAGGAAGTTTACGAACTGAAGAGGTATACATAAGGTTTCAAATTCTTAGCTGCAGAGAAAGTATGACCAACAGCTTTAAGTCAAATAACCTGTGCTTATAGTTTTAAAGAATATTTTATTGAAGCTTAAAGTTACATTGAAATACAAGTATTGAAGGAAATGCTGTTCTACTTGGAGAAAAGAAGCGAGCTTAACAACTAAATATGCTTCATAATTCACTTTTTAGGGCATTATCTAATTAAATGCATTTCCTTAATATCGCAAGTACACTCACTGCAAGTGCTCTAAATCGTTTTCCTATTTGGCACAATATTCACTTGCTTGACTTGCTCATAACCGGTTCTTAAAATATAATTAACGATGACATATGTTATATATTACATGAAGGCAGCATTCACAAATAAGAGGCAAACAATTTTTCATTGCAATTTTAAACAAATATATGACCAAATGCGCCGGCTGTACTGCAAATCGAAGAATTTTCAAGTAAACACATCGGAGACGGACTGCAGACATTATTTTGTTTTCTTTCCTAGTGCAAGCTGTATGTGTTTTTCACTTCGCAAATTTCTGAAGCACATTTGACTTAACGCGAGAATGATTTCCCAAGAAATATAATAAGTAAACATACTATGCCATTAATGGTCACTGATCAAATAAATGAATGTTTGAATTAAACAATTTCTGCGTTCGTTCGTGCGTTTTTGGCCAGACAGGTTCCAAAATACCCTTTGCTGCCTACGCGATCCACGCATCATTGAGAAGCTTATTAGAAGAAAATAGCAAATAAATTTTTCTCCATAGAATATTCTGGCCGAGGTGAAGTTCAGTTATGTTAATGAACTGGTGGTGGGCATGGTGACGGTTGTTCCCAGCAATAACCACAGCCAGCCAGCGGCCTTTGTTGTGAGGATTTCAATTTATGGCTTCAATGACACCATTCTGAATATGAATCCTGCACTCTTCCTCAACCGTGACAAGCAATTCGAGGGCTATATGAACTCAGATGATGACACCGAGTATGCTGCAAACAGTGGCGAACTAGTTGAAGCCTACGCCAATTCTGGCAGTGATGTACTGGAAGTGGACATCGACGAGGATGATAATGAGGATACGACAACTGATGCGAGTGGGGAGTTTGAGGCAAATGATAAGATCATAGAGGTGGGCAAGCGACAGAACGGTGAGTTCAGATGCGTATGCTTCATCGGTATGCATTCTAAAGCTAACTGCATTTTTTTCACCAGGTGACAAATTGATATTCAAAACCTTCCAAACCTCTGAAAATGAGGATAATGCTATTAACCATACGGTCACTTTTTATTACGTGGATAGTGATTACATAACCTACATCAAGTTTGTCATATTCGATGTAAGTACACTTTTATTCTATCATTTACAATAATAAAATTACTGGAGAATAAGTCGTAATTAAACTCAAGCTATGCGGGTATTTACAAATTGTATGTTAGTCTAAAGAAAGCAACACATTTGTTTCTATGGAATAAAATGTTACTTGTATGTAAATACTAAAGTTATGGAAGTATCGAAACTAACTGCCTTGCACAGTCAAACATAATTATGTGTTAGTAATCAGAATTATAGACAATGATCTACCATCACGATTTATCAGAGTACAAGTACTTTCTCATGTGTATAGACCGGTTCCGACAGATCATGACAGATGAATTTTAGGGCTCGTTCAACAAAGTATTTCTACAATAATAATATTTTTGCAAATATTTATACAAACATTAGATTTAATTTGTTTATGCCATGTACTCCAAAAGATAAAAAGTGTGCATTAGGTTTGGAGAAATGCAAAAGACATAGACGGTTCTATCTCCAGCCAATAAAGTATACACATACATAATCAACTCGACTGAACAAATCGATCTAGCCATGTCCGTCTGTCTAGTAAGTAAACTTAACGTCTTCTAATTTTAAAGCAATATGAGTTTGTTCAAAATTTAATGATTAATTTATTGCTAAGCAGTGTACCGAAAATATTTTAGCAATTCATCTACACAAAATTAAGCTGGCTCTCTAACATTCCATACAGCACTTTGAAACGAAGCACAGCACAGCAGTGGACTATAAGCCGCCTTTGGCGGAATATACGCACTTCTCGCCAAACACGCTTAAGGCCGTCATCACGGATTCGAGCTCGGTGTTCGCGAAGATGTACGTTTACGGTTATCCCGCAAAGGAGGTGCCAAAGAGCTATCAGGCCTTTCTGCCACCACCGCATTGGCAACGTGCCCTGACCCCAGGTGAGCAGCCGCCGCTCACACCACTGCAACGGATTCAGTTGCTCCTGCTCACGGGCAAGACAACGAAGGCGCCTACATCGGGGGAGCACGATGACGACGATGATGAGGACGATGGCGAACCGGCTACAATTAGTGCGCGTGACATGGAGGCTGATCACGATTTGGAGTCGATGCAGACACGTGCGAGCGATGCGGCACTGGAGCAACTCGATCAGCGTCTGTGGACATTTATAGGCATGTTGCTGCTCTTGTTGCACAATTGAAGAGCGGGGAGAGCGGTACTCTGCATATTGTGTATATGTGTTGATGCAAGTTAATCCATTGAAAGCTTTATCTGTAGTAAGTAGAGTTAGTGCGATATGCTTTGTAATACATTTTAAAAAATAAACTTTTCGGCTTAAGCTCCCAAAACACAGATACCACTGACGGCAAGAGAGGGTAGAGGGGTAGGAGCGGCATACACTTCACACTCTTTAGTCGTTGTCCATATGAAATTGAAAAAGTTATCGAGAAAGTAGGTCATGGCGCGTTTGACGACATGCCCATGTCCGTTAAGTTCGTCCTGCCTGCCCCGTCCTACCATACCCTGCACTGAGTTTTAGTTCGTGAACAGAACGACCGCATGGCATTGATGGCGACTCCCTTAGCAAATTATGTATGGGTGTGTTTGTGAATACTTACGCCTGTGTGTGAGTTGGTAAATTATCTGTTTTGGTGGTTGCTGTTGTTGTTGTGGGTGGTTGATTTGGCAGGCATTGGCCAAAATGTGCCGTCATGGGCACAAACAAAAGCAAAAGCGAAAAGAAAAGAACGCTGGAAAGCAAAAAGGACCCAGAAGCCAGAAACTCTGCAGCTGACGACACCAAGGCTCTTCTCGTTGCCTTCCACATACACGTACATGTAGTATATATCTGTAAGTGCGTGTGTGTGTGTGGATAAATGCGTATCGTGGTGTTTATTTGCTGCCATGATGTTGTTATTGTTGCTGTTATTGCTGCTATTTTGCTAGAGTAGCACAAACGTGCCTTTTTCTACAGACCTTATACGATATGCGCCGCCGCCTTACGTCGCACAAAAATGTAGAAATTTAAATCAAAATAACTGGCAGACAGCAGCAACAACAAGGACAACAGCTGAGCAAGTGATTTATGTTAACAGGCACACAAACTCTCACACAAATGTACGTATGCACGCTCTTTAAGCAAACAAATTAATTAAAACAACGAAGAAGTTGAAATCACAGCAAAGTTTGCCATGAAACTAAATCTGTTTGAAAACCAAAAAGTTCTCTTTTCATCTGCTGATCAAAAATGTGTAATCTTTATTTAAAATCTAATAAAAGGAACTTTTAATTGATGAATGAAATCGTTGCAAATGTGAGAAACCTCATCACCTGTTGGTATGAAAAGTTAAATTGTAAATACAAAGATGCTTCAAAGCGTTAAAATATCAATTAAATACATCAAATAACTTCAGAAATGACAGATGTTTGCAAAGTAATGGTAATGCTCAACTGAAACAAAACGTGTATAAAAAGTCTCTGCTTGTAAATATTATATTATGAAATATTTCCACAATATTCTATTGTAAAGCTGTTGTATGTTATTGTTGGATATTACAAGTACGTTTGTTTTGCCTTTTAATTAAAACCAACACGGCCACACTAACTTAAACCTATAAGTAAGAAAGATATGTAGGACACGCAGAACGAATTAAGGCAACTATGAATAAAGTAATAAAACATAATACACAGCGGCCTATTTCGGCGACTAAAATACCCATTTAAGATTAGTACTGTATTACTACATTTTTTAATAAAAATTTATGTTTTTTTTGCGTTTTATGTTATTTTAAAATTTTTTAAAAAATGGCAGTATCATTTGCTATTAATATTTAAATAAATAAATTATAAAATAATTAATATATAACTGTTATGCAAATGGAACTATATGTTACCATCAAAATCTATATACGTTCGATTGACTGGTTTTAAGGTTTTTGTAGACTTTTTGAATATCTTGCGAACTAAATTCGAAACTATCTCATTTATGCTTTCTAAACAGAATGCCTTCTGCCACATTAAAGCCATGATATTTCTCGTTAAACAAACAGCAATGCAAACAGCTTGAAAAAATTCTCCCCTACTGCTGAAGTCTACTCAGGCATCAATATTCTTTTTTTATTGCTATTTTGTGGTATTATTCCTTTCCCCACCTGAGGCATATGCAACTTAAGACATTCCTAGACTTCTAGCTTGTGCATTCTATTACATAATTTTCAGCATTTTTCATCTTTATTAATAACATTGGGCTTGTTTAAGTGATGATAAATACATTGTGTTCTTTTTGTTGTGAAAATTAATTTAAAAACAGCAACCGCAATGGGGGGAAGGTAACTCTGGCAGTTGTGAGGCAACTTTTTTACAGTCTACTGCATGGCAGCCACCTGGGGCCGCCAGTGAGGTAGAAAGTGCGACACCGTCGTCGTCGTTGCCGACGTGCGCCTTGTTTCATGTCAGTTGCAGCCAAGTCAAAAAAAACTTGCAAATAAAAATGTTTGCTCGCTCTCTACCTGTCGCACAATTTTGCGACGCGCGCCTGTAAGTATGCTACCGAAATGACGGTAGAAATGTCAAAGGCAAACCAAACTGTCAAGAACAAGATGGCCGCAAGGCGCACACATGTGAGGAGCATCAGCACAGCGGCCCAGTTGGAGGCAGTGCACAAGACGAGGGCCCTGGCCACGATTACAAAAAGGAAAAATTGCCGCAGGGTCAACTTATCACAATATTTATGTTTAATTTGCAACGGAAATTTAAAACATTTTCTTGGCAACACTTGCCGCAATTCCCAGTAAAAAGGGCAAAAAAGCAGAAAATATAAATTTGAGAAGGACTTGAGGTTTCCGAGACACTTGGACAATCGGTCAACTGTAAGACCAAGGCGTCTGTTTCAAAATTGAATTTCATTTTTTATACATGTGACGACGGCTGAAGCAAATAGACATACGAGTATATGAGCATGAGCGTGCCTGGGTGTGGCATTTACATTGGAAACAACGGATAAGCAGCTCACAAGTGTTCCACACCACACCCAGACAAAAAAAAAACAAAAACAAAAGCCCGCCTAACTGGCAAATTCTGACAGTCATGAGCGCTGTTCATTGCTCGCAGCCTTCTATTTCCTCAGCAAGGGGTGACGTTTTTGATAGGGGTGTGGGTGTGTGTGTGTATGTCGTTTTGTCAATAACTTAATAACTTAAAATATGGTTTAATGCTCACGTAACAACATTTTGCCACTTGTGACAAGAGCTTGTGGGTGTGTAGAAGGGCTTGGGCTTGCTTTTTATACCCTATACAATAAGTGTAAGAAGGTCCTATTAGGTTATGAGTATGTTTTCCGACAGCTGATAGTGAAAGACTCGCTTGTGGGTGTGTAGAAGGGCTTCAGCTTGCTTTTTATACCCTATACAAAAAGTGTAAAAAGGTCCTATTAGGATATGTTCCGAAAGCTGATAGTGAAAGACCTGACATATTACCTCGCTTTGGCTATGTACGACTTTTAAACGGCTACTCTTTGTTTTTAGAATATCTTTACTACAAATTTACAACTGGCCTGATAGTAGATATAAAAAAGGATTTTTGATATTTTCCAGAGCATCAGTTTCTCAAAATATGATCATTTCGAAATTCCTTAATTAAAATTTTCGCACTAATAGTATTTTAATTTGATTATAATGATTAAAACCGATATGTGCCCAAGCAATAGTACACGTTTAGTGATATTCCAGAACACGATATCACGAACAAAAATAATGATATCAACAATATCAACTTATACCGGTTAGAGCATTCCCTAGTCTCACTATAACTACTATTCTTTTCTCCTTTCCCATATATGTGTGTACATTTTTTTTGCTATGTCAAAGCCAAGGCAAGGCAACATTTATGGGAGTGTTCAAGACATATGTGTATGCTTGTGAGAGTATGTGGGTGTGTGTGCGTCGGTAGCCTGCGGCTTTGTACGTGCTTGCGCATGCACGTGTTCATCTTTTGATCCTTTTTAATGCCACCTACAAGTTGTATCGATTTTTTGACGCCATCGTTTGTTTGTTCTTTGATCATGATTTGCTTAAGCTAAGAGTCTGTCCGTTTATTTGAACATTTGCATTTAAAATAATTAAAAATTATATATTTCGGCATTAACCGCAATTCGAGCTCAGACCCTTTTCTTTTCATATTTGTTCTTGTTTTTATCTGCCCCATGCATAATTCATATAATGCTTATTGTCAGCATCTACCTTTATGAGCGTGAAAGCAGCGGCTGCTGTGACCCAACTCATTAGCGTTGCCAGTCGTTGACAATGGGCGCGGCGGTGGCTGGAAGGGGGAGAGGTGAGCTCATGTGAAGTCTTCAATTGCACATGTTACTGCATGTGTGTGTGTCTGTGTGTGGTAATGTGTGTTAGTGTGTGTGGTCTGGTCTGGTGCGCATTACGAGCTCGAAACGACAACGACGACACAAGCTTCGCATTTGCATTTTATTAAATTTCAAAAGCTCTCTTCGCACACATTTGAACTCGTCTCCAGCTCACCTGAGCACTAAGGTCCATTGTAATGGGGGCGCTGTCTGTGTGCGTGCGTGTGTAATGCATGTCTGTGTGAGTGGGTGGCGTGTTGCATATTTATGCACTTAATAACGCATTTTAGCATGCTCAAGTGCAACTCATCTTTTGTTACATTACAAACGCACATACTCGTTCTATGCAAGAACTGCCAGGGTGGTTGTCAGAGGCAATGGCGGGCATAAAGGAGTCGCCTTTCACACATGTGCACATGTGCACATGTCTCTTTGTGCATTGTGACAAATGGAGCATGTCAGTTGCATGCATGGCAAAATGTTATGCCTTGCTCATCCTATTAACCCACTGGTGAGAAAGAGATGAAATCCTATTAACCTTTACAATACCAATTCAACTAGTCGGTAAAAGGTATACCCAAAAAAATAATAAACTGTTCAAAGATATCAAGTGTTTAACAATTAATAAAAAATTATATATTGACTGCTTTGAATTAAACATTTGCTTTCAAAAGCCCCAACTGGGCTAATGTCATAGACGAAAAATTCTAGCTTTTAAGGTTTTTAAAAGCCCCAACGAAAATCATAGGTTTTGGCCCACTTTATTTCTGTCCATATCATACTATTTATTATATCATATTATTCTCGCTAGAAGAGAGATTTTAGAGAGCTAAGTGCTAGTCTTGGCTCTGCGGCCTGATTATTTCGTTATATTTTTACAGTTCCATTTCTTTTTAAACTACCTAATCTCATAGAAGGAAAATCCTAGCTTTTAATGTTTTGGTCCGTTTTATTTCTGTTCATATCATATGATTTATTAATTTATTAAAGAGCTAAGTGCTAGTCTAGATCGACAAAGAATACTGAGTTTGTATTATATTTACGCTTGTCTTGGCTCTGCTGGCTGATTATTTCATTATATTTTTACAGTTCCATTTCTTTTCTAACTGATAGAAAAGCCTGTCTATTTGAAAATTAAAGTTCAATTAAAGTAATTATTTTGGCAGGACAGAGCACTGCTAGCTATTATTATACAATTTCTGCTGGCAGTTGCATAATTGAATGATTGATTTCGCAAGCAACAATTGAACAAGCAGACAAAACCGCAATTCTAATACACACACAAACAGAGACACATCAACAAAATGTGTGCGAGAGCCAACCAATTCCCGAACCAAAGCAAATAAACAAAATGCTGGGCAAACCAATCAATGGCTAAATGGAAAGCCAGAGCAACCACACATAGAGCCGCAGTCGTTGGCCAAGTGTGAAGAGTGGTTGGCTGATTGAGCGATGGGGCACATTAAATTACAGTTTTGTCCAAAGGGGGCAACTAAATGGGTAAGGCAAACAAACAAAGTGCCGACTCAATGGCATTTCCAATTTCTCGATGGCAACCCTCTTCCGCTTTTGATGATGACGAGAATTTAAACTAAAATGTCATATTCAATCAACGAGGGTGTGTGTGTGTGTGTGTGTATGTGCATAGAACAAAATCATTGATTTCTTCAAATGTAGTCGTAAGTTTTGCAAATTGTGGATAAATTGTTTTTAACATGCATAATTGTAAAACGTATAACGAGCAACAACTTTAAAACTTTGCACCAAGGCTTGACACACAGATACTGTATCAGACACGACCATGTCAAATCCCTAAATCCGCTTGCTGTCATAACAACGATGTGATGTAGAAAGCTGTTGCATAAAAAACTGGCTTGTAGGTAGATATTGGATCGAAAGTGCGCTTTGAGTATGCTGTCGTCATACCTGAAGTTGGATCGATATACAAAAGAATGCTACTCTAATCAACCAAACTATCCAATATATATTGGAGCATTATTTACGTGACGTTAATTAGTTAAGTATATTATTATTTATTTATTCTTGTACATCTGTTTTTTCAACTTAATATATGCGCGCTATAGTTACATTATAGTCATATTTTTAATAATTTTGAAAACGTCAATTTACAACTAAAACAAGTTTTGATTTCAGACTCTTCTTTCCAGCACTTAACCGCTGTTAGCTGAAGTGGCAGCAGCCCTACCAGAGTCCATACGCATGCCTCTGTGCTGTGTGTGCCGCCATTTAATTGAAACTGTCATCGGCAGCAACCAAGACATGGCAATAAATCAGAGCATTGCTTTAATACGCAACGGCGTTTCATTTAAGTAAAAAATATTTGGCGACGGCTGCTTTAAATGCTCCACAATTAAAATCAAGACAAAAACTTTTCAATTAACTGGCTGTGTCGGAATTGGCAC